TTGGGGCAGTGTTTGCCGTTCCCATCTCAACAAGGCCATGTAGCCATGTGCCCAGCCCTGCGCGGGATTGTGAAATTGTAGCTCTGCAGTGCTGCTAACCACACAGCAAGTTGCCCCTCAGGGTTCCTGACTCTAAAAAGCCATTTCAGAGACACATGCTCTGTCCTGATCATAAACATCCTCCCATCCAAGCCGTGCTGAAAAAGTTCTATAGATTTTTCTACTGCCAGGAGCTCCCTCAGACTGGTGCCATCATTTCTCTCTGGCAGACTTGGACTTTGGCTGTAATAAGCTCCAGCCCTCCCCAGTGCTGTGTGTTATTGTCAGCAGTGTCCCCGATCCATCTGTGTCCAATATGAAAGGGGGTTTGAAACCTGAGTAGGCCCAGACAGGAGCAGTCACAGGAGCCTTTTTCCAACTCTGAGAAGGCTACGTCGCATTCTGCTGGCCACTGGAACGTCTCACCCAGACTACACAACGGTTTTGCAACTTTGGCACCACCACAGACAACGCTTCTGCAATAGGAGCAGAGCCCTACAAAGGGAATTAGCCATTTAAATAACCAGAGCCTGGTGCGATGGGTTCTCTCATCGGGACCCCCTTGGGACTGTCACTGGATGTGCTGAGATACCACTGAGCCTAACCCCTCTGCCAACCTGGGCACCCCTCAACTCTGTCTTGCTGAGCCAGACCTTTCAGGCCTCCTCCAGCACAGACAGAGGGACTGGGCCACACCCCTCTACAGAATACAGACACAGAGATCAGCTCTGGGCAGACTCAGTTAAAGGGACTTGCCTCAGCACCCCAGTGCACAGCCCTTCTGGGAGCCTGAACCCCAGATCAATTTGTCTCACACTGTATAAAGTTTCATACAGCATCAGTTCATATTATTTGCCCTCTTTCTTGAAGTAAAGAGAGATATGCACAAACTGTTTGCCCCCCCCAGGTAACAATTACTTACATTGGGTTTATTAATAATAAACGTGATTTTATTAAGTATAAAAGGTAGGATTTAAGTGATCATAAGAAGTAACAAACAGAACAAGGTAAGTTACTAAGCAAAATAAAACAAACACGCAAGGCTAAGCTTAATACACTAAGGAACTGGTTACATGTAATCTTACCCTCAAAGATGTTCTAATAAGCTTCTTTCACAGACTAGACTCATTTCTAGTCAGATACATAGGGAGCTTGTTGGTGGGGGCTTGAACAGATGCAAGGAGCCCGTGGCATGTGCTATGAGCTCTGCTTGCAGAAGCAACAAAGGTGTGAGACCCTCTTCTATGTGTACACACACACACAGCTCTATGCTTGAGAAGGCAAGATCAAAGAAATGCCCTGATGCGTGGAGTGAAGGTGGGGAGGTTTGGGATGATCTGTAGTCACTTGGGGAATTTGTTCCAGCCTGGGACCAGCCCCTGAGAAAGTTCTGTCTCCTCTATTGTATTATTATTTATTAGGAGAATGATGGTAGGAATTAGGACAACCCCAAGCATGGCGCAGGTCCCCATTGCTATAGGCACTTCATAGTATTTCTCAAGTGTATTACTGTAGTGCCTAGGAGCTGCAATCATTGGTCAGGATCTTATTGTACTAGGCACTGTACATTATTTACTGGGTGAATTATGGTAGGACCTGGGATATTTGCCCTTGGACCACACCCCCACCCTGCTAGGCACTGTACAGAGGCAGAACAACAAGACCCAGAGGGACAGACTTGTTAACCCTAATCCTTATCCTGGAGCTTGACAGGTTTTTCCAATTCCCTGGGCCCAGGCCTTGGAGCTAAGGACAAGCCTTTCAACCAGGTTCAATAGTCTCAGGGTATGGAAATTAAGCCAGATTCAGGTGGGTATGCATTTATGGTGCAGTGCTCCACTTTCAACGTGGGTGAAACCCAACAGGAACAAGACCCTCCTTTTCTGGAATCGGAGCATCCGCACATGGCATCGTTCAGGAGTTGCTCCTGAAGGGAAGTCGGTGGAGGGAGTGGACAGGTCTGATGCACGCCCAATATCCCGCATTGCAGCGTTCTGTACCAGGGGCATTGGAAGCAGGGGAGTTGCCAGTGGTTGCACTCTGGGTCAGGAGAGGCCCCTCGCCCTCCACAGCGTCCTTCACCCTCTGCTTGTACTGGCACTTGAAGAAGCCGAACTGGAAGGAGACAGAGAGGGGAGACGGTGAGAGCCAGACAGACACAGGCTCATGGCCAAGGAGGAGGAGGGATAGGCTGTGGGAACCTCTGAAGGAAACACCCTTGTCCCTCCCCCACCAGCTGGGAGAACCACAGGCCCTGCCCTTATAGCGATGGGCTGTGGGGGAGGGGTCCAAGCCCTTCCCCACTCACCTTGTAGAGGGCTGCGGTGATGAGAGCCAGCAGGATCAGGCCAGCACGCTGCTGCCCACGACCTCGGAGCGCTCCACCACTGTCTGCACCTGGGGGAGAGGAGCTGTGAAATGGGGATCCAGGAGTCTTGGCACCATCATCCGCCCCTGTTCTAAACCCCCAGACCTCACTTCCTCCCAGAGCAGGGACAGGACCGAGGAGTCCTGGCTCCCAGCTCTAACCACTAGCCGATGCTCTCTCTATCCTGGGCGCTGTCACTCTGGTACCTGGCGCTGGACGAATCCCTCCTTCTGGGTGTATTTCTCCTCCTCGTATTCAATCCGGGCCTCGCTCACCAGACTCACTTTCTGCTGCTGAGTCTGGAACAGAGAAATTCACCGTCCCTGACTGGAAATGACACAAACCAGTCCAGAGCATCATCCCAGGAGGACCCACAGCAATTTACAGGCCGTTCACACAGGAGCAATCCCTTGCCCAGCACTGAGATGCAGCCACCTCTGGGGTGAGGCATGGGGGATGTTCATACGGGCGGGGGGGATCTCTTGCCTGGTGCTGGTAGGCAGAGGCAGCTCTCGTACCTGGGAGACCCACTGGAAGCTGACGTTCCCTTTGATCATAAACTCCAGCGGCTGCTGCATTTCCAGGGAGGCGATTCTGCACCGGATCTTCTTACAGGTGGCCACGGAGCAGTCCTGGGGGTGGAAGGATATCACCGGGTGAGTCAGGGGGCGTGCAGGGGCTCAGCATGGCCATGAGGGTCTGGGTCTGTCTACAGCACTTGCTGTCTGTGTTACTGCAGAGGGAGAAGAGCTGCTGGGATCAGCACTGGTCTGTACTCACCAGCAGGGGGCGATCGCTCATCTGCTTCACAAAGTCCTTTGAATCGGGTGTTTCCACGTCATTGGTGCACTGGGCCAGTTCCGGCTGGGGAGGGAGAGAGACACGGTGTTAATGGGGGTGGGAAGGGGACATGGGGCCTTTCCCCTCTAGGAGACACCAGCACCAATCTGGCACCAGGGAACAGGACTGGCAGGTACAGAAGCTGGGGCAGAGGTCTTTCCCCCTAGGCAGCCTGTCCCAGCAGGGGGCCCTGTAGGGCAGAGCAGGTGTCACTGGGCCCATCTCTCACACACACAAGGGCAGGGAGAGGCAAGTACCTTGGAGGGGACGACCTCAGAGACGTCCCACACCCAGACCCCGCTCAGCTCCACGGGGAACTGGAATGTGACCGAGATGGGGACGCTTCGCTGCCGCAGGTTCTTGACCTGAAAGAAACAGACTCTCCAAAAGGCACTGCAGGAAGAGACCCAGGAGCTCTGATCCCCAGCTCCCGCTCTGACCCTCTAACCCCACTCCCCTGCCAGATCTGGGGATAGAACCCAGGAGTTCTGGCTCCCTGGCCACCCCCACCCCTCTGTGCTCTAACCCACTAAATCTGACTCAGGCAGTTCCACTCCCTCCCTCTTGCCCTGTCTCCCCACCTCACACTCTGTGCTGCCATCCTCACCTCGTACCGATGTGTCACTGGCACGCTTGTCCCTGCCTCCTTGGTGGAGAAGTTGACGTACTTGGTCGACTCTTCAAGGCTGGGGGAGGAAAAGGATGGAAAGAAGGAGAGAGACGGGAGTGTGATGGATGGGGCTGGAGAGTGGGGGTGGCGTGTCATGTGCAGAAGGGGGCGCTGTGCTGCAAGAAAGGACTCAGTAGGGGGCGCTCTCCCCTTGCAGTCAGCGCTGGCACCTATGACCAAGCGTGGCGCTAGGGACACTGTGCTGCAGGGAAGAGCTCAATAGGGGGTGCTGTGCTGCAGGGAACAGGGGGCCCAGCAGGGGGCGCTCTCCCCTCTGTCTCCACACTGACCTACCTGGTGAGAATGATGAAGATGCCGTACTTGACTGGCAGCTCCGCCCGGTGTGATGAAGCTGGTGTTTTTGCGGGGAGGATTCGGTGACTTACCCAGAGAAATTGAAGGAGACTGCTAACTGGTCATCGCAGCGGCCATCGGTGCCGCAGTCCTTCTGAAACGGGAGCTGGAGGGAGACCAGGAGAACAGGGGTCAATGGGGAGAGGGCTGCAGCACCATCTGCCAGAGTGACAGTGCAGGGACCCAGGGGCCCTCCAGTTACCCCAGCACCTCCCAGTCCCCTGCACAGGGGACAGCTGAACCCATCATCAGCCCTGCCCTTGCCACCCACCCACCCACTCACCCATACCCCTCCTCCCCCTTCCAACTCCCGGCTCTGGCCAGCAACAGTATCACTCTTCTAGGGGTGCCAGGGCAGGGGGCCTGCCTGGCTCACTGGGGGATGGGGAACAGGGCATGGGGCCTTGCCCCTCTAAGGGACCCTGGCCAAAATAAGTTTTGAAAATTTTTCAGCAAAAATCATTTTTTTAGCCAAAAATATTTTGGTTTTTGGACAGAAATTTGGGGAACTTTGAGGAGAAGTTGGAATGTTCCCACCTAGGAGAGACAGGTCCCTAGCCAAGGCAAACTGGGCATCCATCTCTGTCGCCCTCTAGTGTCCATACTCTGTAAGGGGTTTAGGAAGCTGCTGCTGGCTCTGAACTTTGCAGTCTCTCACTTTTGAATGCCAACATCACTGGTTCGATCCCTGCAGCAGACCCACCGTGGGGCCTGTCTCTGGCATCTTACCGAGCCTGCAGACACCAGCGCAGAGTCCTCGCTCAGGATGGGTCTGAGGCCACCGGCGGCAGTGATGGGCTCCCCCGTCAGGGTGTAGTTGAAGCGTAGGGTGATGGGGGTCAGAATGTCTTCGGGACAGAGCTGGGGACAGAGAAAGACACGTTGGGCCCCTGAAGGGAAAGAGGAACTGGGATCCAGAGAGACGTTTGTTCTCTGGGTGATTTGGGAGCAAGGGGCAGGGTTGGAGGATCAGACACAGTAGGAGGGGAAGGAGCCGGGACACCCAGTACTCACAGGTAACATTATCCGGTACGTCTCACATTTCTTCTCGATGCCGAGCCGCAGCTCCCTGCTCAGGACGGGGCCGGTGGCGTCGAAGGCGACTCGGATCTTCGTCCGCCCGGGGTCCAGGGCCAGGCTGTACTGGATGGTGCTGTAGATCCTGTCACCTATGGGGGAGGGGAAATGAGGGACAGAGAGAGACACAGTGGGAACCTCAAGGGGAAATGGGACATGGGGCCTTTCCCCTCTAGGCAGAGCTGGCTCCAGTCCAGCCCCAGGGCAGGGGACTGGCTGGCTCAGGGGGGAGGGGAGCGGGGGGTGGGTTTGGTCTCACCTAGGCTGTCCATGGTGCTCTTAGTGACGGTGAAGCAGACCTCTGCCCTGCTGGCCTCTGTGTTGAGCTGCTCCTGCCCCTGGCAGTCGAAGGCCGAGGTGGGGATCGTGGGGGGCTGGAAGCTGATAGAGACCCCGACTCTGAGCACCGGCCGGGACCTGCCATGGGGGGAACAGAACATCACCCAGCTGCTCCCTGCAATGGGGCCAGACTCCCTCCCGCCCCTGAGTCTCCCACCCAGCCTGGATGTGCTCACAGCACCCAAGGGAGAAAAGTTATGGATTTGCAGCTCTGCTAGAGGAGATGCGGGGGGCAAATAAGGGAGCAGTAAAGCAGGGGCAGCAGGTTTGTATAACTTTTGGTGAGGCCTAGAACAGGTCCAAGACCTGTTCTCCCCCTCACCCAGTCACACACTCACAGCTGCCTAAGACTCCTGAAGGGAGTTTGGGTGCTGGTTGCGGGCTCTGGGCTGGGGCAGAGGGTATAGGTTCAGGAGGGGGTACCATTTCTGGGAGGGAGTTTGGGAGCAGAAGGGGGTTTGGGGTGCCACACAGTGCCCCCCCAACACATTCAGAGGACACGCTATGCCCAGCACCCCCACCCACAAATCCACAGGACCCTGAACACAACCACCCCTGCACCAGCACTCCGCCGCCCTCAGCCCCACCTTAGCCAAGAGAAGCAAGGGTAGGGAAGGAACCATAGAGGCATGTGGGGGCAGCGGGTGGAACTCGGACCCAAACTTTGGTGGAGCCGGGCCTCCAGGCCCAGAATATCCCAGAGCACCACGGGCTCATGCAAATCACCGGCCCTGCAGCAAATCTATCATTGTGCCTTTCTCCAGTACAGGGGAGACACACACACACACACACACACACACACACAATGTATTGCTACTGTGTGCCGCCCTGTCTTCACTACAGATAACTGAGCTTAATGAAGCATGGCAGATTACTGGTTCTCATTCTCAAAATGTTGCCTCAAAGGCTCCCTGATTTCAATAGCTCCCTTGTGCCCTTTCAACAGCCATGTTATCTGGCTGCTCAAAATCAGCATCCAGGTGATCTGGCTCAGCACTCCACCCCAGGCAAGCTTTTCACCCTGAGCCCCACAGGCAGCTCTGACCATTGGAATGTTTTCCTCACTAAGATCTAACCTTCCCGAAAGGCATCGCCAACGCACTTTTAATGTGCCAAAGGCACATTCCACAGTCATTCTGCATCTACTCAGTCTGTTGTTGAAATGCTCCTTGCTGCTGTCCAGGTTTCCCATTTAAGGCTCCATGAGCCATGGGAGTAAGGGATACGCTGAGACTCCCAGGATCACGATGAGCATTTCAACATCCCCCACTGGAAGCTTTTGGTCTGGAAAGAAAGTCCCTGCTTGCAGCTTTCTGTGCAGGCCGGTGCTCCTGAAGATGCGCACATCATGCACCTTCCCCGACCACTCCACGTTGATGTCAGCAAAACACCCACGGTGCTCTACAAGTGCCTGCAGTAACATGGAGAAGTGCCCCTTTCTGTCGATGTACTCTGTCACAAGATGGTCCAGGGCTAAAATTGGAATATGCATTCCATCTATTCCCTTCCCGTAGTTAGAGAATCCCATTTCCACAAAGCCATTCACTATTTCACGTACATTGCCAAGAGTCATGGTCCTTCGTAGAAGGATTCGATTAATGGCCCTGCACACTTGCATTAACGCAGCCCCTTCAATGGACTTGATGACTTCAAACTGATTCACAACTGGTAGCAGTCCAGGGTTGCCAGCTTCCACACTGCAATCACCACGCACTTCTCCACCGAGAGGGCAGCTCCCATTTTGGTGTCCTGTCCTCATTTTGCACTGCAGGGCTGGGGTGAGCTCTGTACACAGTTCCAGGAAGGTGGTTTTCTGCACCCACTGCTTGTCATCTCAGAGCTGCATAACAATGTGATCCCACCAATCAGTGCTTGTTTCCCAAGCTCAAAAGCTACAGTCCACTGTGTTCAGCTGCTCCATGAACGCCAAAAGTAATCTGGTGTTGTTTCTTTCCATGGCACACAGCGGATCAGGCAACTCTGGTTCCTGTTCAGATTGGGAGCTCATGATATACTGCATGACCATCCACGATGTGTTCATAACAGCGACCACAACAGTACAGATCAGTGCAGGATCCATCTCTTCAGACAGAGGTGGCAGGTGCACAGTAAACAAGAACCATTGAAAAATGCCACAGAATGCAGTCGAAAGCCCATGGAATGCTGGGATGGAAAGAACTGCATCATGGGACATTGATTCCACACCCATGATGCACTGCGATCCACAACACCTAGCTGTGGAATGTGGTGAGCAGCACACCGAGGTAGGTACCCACAGTGCACTGCTCTCCACTGCTACAGCACCAAGTGTGGATGCGCTCTGCTGACACAAGGACCGTAGTGTGGACATGGAATAGCGATGAAATTATTGCACTTTTAGATTGCCGGCATAACTTGTATTGAAAATACTCTCTAGTGTAGACAAGGCCTGAGACTGTCGTGCAGAGCAGTGCAACACCACAGAGTTACTTACCTCAGCAGCAGGACCTGCCCTTGTGCCCCCACCGCGATGTCCGGCAGTCCGTCCCCCGTCAGATCTGTCCCGCCACTGACGGCCCGGCCAAAGTAGTGCAGCCTGCTGGGAAACTGTGACCCCACTATGCGCTGTAGGGCAGAGAGCAATAAGGGATGCAGAAGGGGTGAGTGTACTATATAATGAGCACAAGGGGGCACCAGAGGATAAGGGTTAGGAAAGGGGTGAGTATACTGTGTAATGGGCACTAGGGGGCTGTGGGGTCCCATGCTGTCCCTTCAGGGCTGTGTACTGACCCCTACCCATAGGAACTGGGCTCACCTGTTTGTACTGCGGACTGACTCCTCCCTTTTCCCCATGGAAGATGTACAAGGCTCCATGATTGTCATCCTCCATGGGAGCCCCGATGGCCACATCCATCTGTCCGTCCCCGCTGATGTCCCCGATTTCAGACATGCTGGCCCCGAAGCGCCCAGACACTTCCCCCGTCTGTCCATGTAGTGTCTTGGTGCAGATCATCGTCGTCCCCTGGAGGCCCAATCCAAAAGACACGTGGGGAAAGGATCAGCACTTGCTGTCATCAGAGAGTGATCCCTACCAAGCTCCTTCCCCTCTCTCAGCAGCACAGTGTGTGTCCCCCCTCCCGACTCTGGGGCCTGGGGCCAGAACTGACTGGGAGGGAAGAGCGCCCCCTACTGAGCCTCTACCCTGCTTCCTGGAGCACCATGCCCCCTACTGCAATACGAATTGTCACAGCATCACAGCAGTTCAGGCAAACAAGAACCCCCGGCCACCCATCTTCCCCATGGCTGCACTCCTCTTTCTTACCGGCAAGTTAATTGGGCAGATATAGACGCGTCCTCCATTCAGAGGTGTATGGTACAAAGGGGCTCCGATTAGAACCAGGTCTGTGTTCCCATCTCTGTCAAGGTCCACAGCACACAGTGTACTCCCGAAATACGAGCCGTTCTGGAGAGGCAGATAAGCCACCCCCTCAATTTAGTCACCTCCTGCTTCTTCTCCCACTGGGACCCTTCTCACCCTCTGGGGATACGGATTCAGTCACAATGTCCATTCCATCCTTAGCCTCACTCTCCTTCAGTGCAGCCAGTGGCGCTATCTCTGTAAGTGTTCTTGAACAGACAGGCAGCTAGATCTTGGAGGGACGGGAATGCTGAATGCTAACTGTGGTGCAATTCTTTTTAGAGGTTGGGCTATCACAAGTCAAGTTCATCACTGACTGAGCCACTGTTATAAGTTTTGTTTAGGTGGCATGTACAGGCAATTGGACTTAGAGAAATTCACTTTGTTAGTGTAGTGTGATATTTTTCAGACACTGTTAATATCACTAGTAATGTTATTTCCTTGCCTGAGTCTCTCTAGCCTAGATCCACAAAGGTACTTATGTGCTTAACCCCCTGGACTTTAATGTCTCTGTGAGCCGCAAAACCTCTGCCTGGCTGCCTCTGACCCCTGTAGGTTCCTAAACTGACTTGGTGCCTAAATTTTTGCAGCAGAAGCTCCTTTGTTACTGTCTCGGCAGGGCTCGTGCCTTACTGTCTTACTCTAAGCATGCGGTTACCCGGTGCCTATTTCCCCCCCACATCCCAGCATGCTCTACAAACTAGGGGAAGACAGGTGCTCCTCCATCTAACTCCTCCACCTCCGGTAGGTGTGGTCAGAGGAGAAGGAATTGAACAGGCACCTGTTATTTCTCAGTTCAGTGCTCTAACCCCTGAGCTGTGGGATATTCTGATGTGGGCTCCCTCAGTCTCCCCTCTTAAAGTTGTTCCAGTTTAATTGAGTAACTAAGGCTACATCTACACTACAGGGGGGAGTCGATTTAAGATACGCAAATTCAGCTATGTGAATAGCGTAGCTGAATTCGACGTATCGCAGCCGACTTACCCCGCTGTGAGGACCGCGGCAAAATCGACCTCCACGGCTTCCTGTCGACGGCGCTTACTCCCACCTCCGCTGGTGGAGTAAGAGCGTCGATTAGGGGATCGATTGTCGCGTCCCGATGGGACGCGATAAATCGATCCCCGAGAGGTCGATTTCTACCCGCCGATTCAGGCGGGTAGTGTAGACCTAGCCTTAGTATCAGTTGAGCCACAGAACATGTGCAAATCACAACTGCCTGAGAGAGGGCAGCTACCTGGTTAAATCCTTCTTACTAATTAGGCAAAGCAGGGATTTGAACCAGGGGTCACCCATGTACTAGGTGAGAACTCTAATCCCCACTCTATAAGGGAAACGTCTCTTGTCTCCTACAGTTGGTTTGTGAATATCTCAGCAGCTCTGAGCATGCCTATTGGATGAGATCGAACATGTCGAGTAGGTGAAGAGTGCCTGTGTCTCTCTCTACCCTCCCCCCATTCGTCGATTGCTGGCAGAGGCAGGTGCCTCCCTGCAACATCACGATGCCTAAGTCCCTTGGTGGGTCTGGGCCTCTGTCCATATCCACCTTACGAGTTCCGTCTAGACTGTAAGTGAAGGTAACAGAAGTGGGTTATTGGAGAGATGCTGAATGTCAGCTGCGGTGCAGTTCTCTAAACCAGTCAAGTTTATCCCCTGCCTGAGGCTCTCTGACCGAATCGTTCCTGAAGGTGAAGCCAAACACAAATATTACATGATATCAAAAGCTTACAGGCTTCCTCCAGAGCTCTTCTTCTCTCACACCCACAATCCACATTACCTCTAACACTCCCCATACCTGCTCTCCCAACAGCTCCGATCCGGGTGTCCATTCCCCACCCTTGGTATCTCTGCTGAACAGGAGGACTTTGCCGGTGTCTTGGCATAGAGGGACCCCGACCATGTAGGTGGTCTGCCCGTTGGCTGTGATGACCTGAGATGAATAACCTCAAAGGAAAAGAGAGACATGGGGAGGTGACATGGGAAACAGCCATACAACAGTGTGATGGGTTGGACCACCCCATCCAGGATGCCACCTGATGGACTGGGTTTTCACTGAGCCTCTCCTGCTCCACCACCCTGGATTCCCTCTCCCTGTTCTTCTGAATTAAGCTGTCTGGTCTCGTGCAGCACACACACACAGGTAGGGCAACACCCAGCGCCAGACACAGACTGAAGTCAGCTCTATGTGAGAGGACACACCCGGAACTCACGTGCACAACCTTTTGGGCAATAAACTCAAAATAATACTGTCTTACACTGTACAGAGAGATTTGCACAGAGCAAGCTCCTAAAAATTCACCCTCTCCCTCAATGTGGAGAGAGATGTGCACAGCTTCTTGCACCCCCCAGGTATGAATTGTACAAACTGAGTTATACTATAAACAAGAAATAACTTTATTAACTACAAAAGGTAAATTGTACGTGATTATAAGGTAAAGCAAACAGAACAAAGCAGATTACCTCAATAAATAAAGAAAACTTGCAAACTGAGCGTAACACACTAGACCGGTAGGATACAAATAAGCAGATTCTCACCCTGAGTGATAAACAGACAGCACATTCTTAAGGCACAAGTCGTCTTGGCTTTCCCAGGTTTTCATACTCAGGCTAAAAATCCCTCTAGCCTTGGACCATCACTTCCCACGGTTCTGTCCTTGCCCCTCAGATATTTCCAGGCATGTTGTTGTAGGGAGAGTGACATCCCCCATTATATCATTGTCCCCTTTTTATATCTTCTTCCCACTCGCTGTAAAGCTCTCTTGATGTGACCTGGGCCAAACAGTTTCAATTGTGCAGTGCTATCTCTGAGAGGTTTCTATTGTACCCAGTTCCTAGGGTAATCCATGTGCGTATGTGCATTTCCTCAATAAGCCATTAACACCGTTTGGCCTTTTTAGCATTGTACCTGAAAGGCTGCTTGTGCGTGTTGTGAACTTCACCACACATTTCAGTAACACATACATAGCCAAACTTCATAACTTCACATAGAATGATAACACATACAATCCAATGAGATTAATGTTTAGCAGATCAAGACTTTTAGAATAATCCCTCACAAGACATACTTTGTACAAAACATATCCTAATTACAAGACAGTGATGAATATTGGGGTGTCAGGGTGTCACAAACAGTGCTACACAGAGATCCCTTCCCCAGAACTAAGAGGAAGCCCCCTCTGGGGTGAGGAGCAGGGGCTGTATAAATAGGTAAGGGGAAATCTTTGGGTTTGTTCTTACTGAGAAAATCATCATTCATGTCCGCAGAGGTTCTGGGTATGTCGATGAAACTCATTTCCCACTGCTCCTGTACAGGTATATCCCACCGGACCAGTCATAGGCTCCCACCACTCCCAGCTCTGGATTCCCAGCAGGTCCCCGTCCCGCAGAATCATAGAATATCAGGGTTGGAAGAGACCTCAGGAGGTCGGCTAGTCCCACCCCCGGCTCAAAGCAGGACCAACCCCAACTTAATCATCCCAGCCAGGGCTTTGTCAAGCTGACCTTTAAAAACTTGTAAGGATGGAGATTCTACCACCTCCCTGGGTAACCCATTCCAGTGCTTCACCACCCTCCTAGTGAAATAGTGTTTCCTAATATCCAACCTAGACCTCCCCCAACAGCCGAGCTCCATCCTCTTTGGAACCCCCTTCAGGTTGTTGAAGGATGCTATTAAATCCCCCCTCACTCTTCTCTTCTGCAGACTAAATAAACCCAGTTCCCTCAGCCTCTCCTAAAAAGTCATTTGTCCCAGCCTCCTAATCATTTTTGTTGACGTCTGCTGGACTCTTTCCAATTGGCCCAAGTCCTTTCTGTAGTGGGGGGAGAGGTCCTAAAACTGGATGTAATACTCCAGATGTGGCCTCACCAGTGCCAAAGGGAGGGGAATAATCACTTCCCTCGGTCTGTTGCCAATGCTCCTACTAATACAGCCCAATATGCCGGCCATCTCGACCTTGAAAACCCATTTCTAGAGCCTCAGGGCCACTGTGGCCCCTGCCCCAGCTCTGTTACCTTTGAAGGCGAAGAACTTCTCCTGCAGCTGGCTCTGGATGCCCTGGAGGGCGTCGAAATTGTCCACCCGGAAGACGTGCTCATTGCTGGGCTGAGAGGCGATCTCCTGGAGCTCCTGTTGGGCAGCAGCGCTGGAGAAGACCTGGCCGACCTTCACGGAGTAGAGGGAGGTACAGGAGAGACCAGGACATTGGCATCAGTCACAGCCGAGAGCCCTGGACCAACACCCACCCGCCCCGAGCCCTGCTGGGCCCTAGAGAGGCACGGCTCAGCCAGCGCCATGTGCCGCTCTGGTGAGTGTGGGGTCGATGGAGCCTGGAGTTATGGAGCCTGCCTCATTTCAACACCGAGTTGTGTTGGTTGTATCACCAGTGAGGACAGGGGTCTTCTTGCCATGGGGATTGTCAGCAGTCTGGGGCCCTGCATGACTCAATCTCCAGGGTGTAGTGAGGGTGAGTGCTACAATGTCTCCAGGGGATGCCTCAGGGCAATGGGTGAAGGGCTGGAACCACTGCGCGAGTCCGGGTGGGTTGTGAGCTGTCGGTTCAGCGGTGGAGTCAGGCACCTCCCGGTTGCTGGGCCCGAAGTAAGCAACAGACCATGTTCGAACAAGATACAGTGGCTGGAAGCGGAATTTACAGCCATTCAATTTGGAAAGAAGGTGTCAGGTTTAATCATGAGGGGAATTACCATTGGAGCAGCTCACCACGGGTCGCAGTGGAGTCTCCATCCCTGGCAATTTTTATCTCAAGACTGGCTGGTTTTCTAGAAAATCTGTTCTGGTTCCAGCAGGGATTATTGGGGTCTTTTCTCTGGCCTGTGCTACATGGATGCTCAGACTAGATCATCGCAAAAGTCCCTTCTGGCCTGGGAATCTATGACTCTAAACCCGAGTTTGTTGATGAAAGGCAGCTTACGTCGACCTAACTCGATAAGCGGCCTCGCTAAAATGTAGCTCCCACCCATGTAACTTGCCCACTACACCGACTTCATAACTCCACTTCCACAAGAGGCGTTGCTTTTAGGTCAATGTAGTTAGGTCGATGCAATGTCCATATAGGCACTGGATGGCTTACATAGCCCGAGGCTCCAGCTGTTGGCCCCTGGCGGTGGGGCTTCAACCCCACAATGCCCAACACTGACACTTAAATCAGTACAAGGTCCCCTCATGAGGACGTGCACGGCCGACAGGAGAGTAATGTGGACATGAAAAACCGATTTAAATACTGCGGTGGCTGTGTGATGACATACGTTAATTTGATTTGCCCTTTGTCTTGCTGCTGATGCCCATTTCAATCTCTTTGGCTCAGCAGTTTAATGGAGATAAATGTCAAGTGACTGAGATCTGTTTGGGGAGGATCAGCGCTGTTGTTTGAGCCCCAGGGTTGTGCAAAAAAGACTTTATAAGAACCAGGTGACTTTGCTGTTTAACTAGGGGGGGCTGTATCTCAGAAACCCCTTGTGCAAATAATCCCAAATTTAGACCACTCATCTTAACCTGAATTTGCATGAGGCAAACGAAATTTTATGACAATCTGAGTCAGCACATGGACCGTAGGGCAGGCAGAAAACCCCAACCTTTAACTAGACAGTGCCACTCAACCTGAACAACAGAGGAGCTCCAGCTCTCCTACAATGTCACACGTTGACCTGGTTACAACCCAGGGTCAGTTCTTCTCCCTTATCTGATGGGAACGTGGACAGGGGCTAAGATCCCTACTAGTTCTCTGCACAGCCACGGCTCACCCCGATGGCATAGCGGATGATTCCAGCTCTCTCAGCCTCGGGGACGGCGTCTGAATAAGAAAGTGGGTCTCCAGTTTTCTCCCCATCTGTGATCACAATGAGAACCTTGGTGGCCTCATCCCGAGCTCCTTTCCCAGAGGTGAACAGCTCCCGCCTGGAAAATGGAGGGTGTAGAAAGCATGGGATGGTTCTTGATACTTAATAACACCTAGCGCTTATCCACTGCTTTGGCATTGCAGATCTCAAAGTCCTTTACAAAGGAGGTCACTGTCATGTCTCCATTTTACTGATGGGGAAACTGAGGCACAGGGCACGGACATGACTTGCTTGAAGTCACAACACAACGGAAGCTCAGAACTGGCAATAGAACGCCAGAGTCCTGGCTCCCAACATCCCCACCCCACTTTAACCTACTAGTCCCCATTCCTCTCCCACAGATGAGGATAGAATCCAGGAGTCCCAAGCCCCTGTCCCTTAGCTTCCATATCCTTGCAGCCCATTTCCTGTGGCATCAGCATGGGGAGGAGGGCAATACCTACACCACTTTCCGGATGGCTGTGGCCGTGTGCGTCGCTCCCGTGAGCTGTACGACCGACCTGAGGAGGCGATCGGGGTCACGACTCCTCCTGTACTGTAAGAAGTCGAAGTGCTCTCTAAATCTGTGCGAGTACTGCATGAGGGCAAACTGCAGGAGACAGGGGAAAAGGGAGAAAAACAACCCCCGGGGTGGAGGGTAAGAAAAGCAGGAATCAGACTCAGTTAAGGCCTGGGGCAGGTGGTCGGGATGTAGCTGGTTCTGCAGGAATTTTTTCCTGGTTTTGGATGCAAAATCCATTGCTGCTCCCTGCACCACAGCGCCCCCTAGTGCCGCACTGAGGCCAGCACTGACTGCGAGGGGCAGGGTACATAGTCAGGGTTCAGCCTCTTCCCGTTACCTGCGTGTCGGTGCTGCGGAAACGCTTCATGATCTCAGAGAGAAACGTTTTCATTTTTTCAAAGTCCTCACGTGCGATGCTGCCCGAGCCGTCGATGAGGAGCGCTATGTCTGTGACATGTTTGGGGCACTCTGAGAGGGACGGGAATGAAGTATGTCCTGACTCAACTCCACAGACATGGGAAACCCATCAGAAAGAGCTAGACCAGACCAATGGGCGCATCTAACCTGATATCCCACCCCCTGCCGACCACCTCGATCAGACCCCTCGGCCCCTCTGTCATAACATCATCCCGTCCCTGCCATGGAGGGTCCCTGAGAGTAGAGCATGACATGCACTGGGATGAAAAAAATACACCCCACCCGCCTCCCAGAGCTGGGACAGAACCCAGGAGTCCTGACTCCCAGCTCCTACTGACATCCTGAATCAAACCTATGGCCCACCTAGCCTGGTATCCCACCCCCTGTCAGACCCTGGGCCCCTCTAGACTCATCTCCCCTCCACATCCCCATGGTCCATGTACCCACCCGTGAACCCAGGGTGTAAGTCCCCCCACACACACCGCTGTGTCACCCCTCACCTGGCTGGGTGTCCAGGATGCGCTGGAGTTGCCAGAAGCTCTGCTGCAGAGGGAAGCAGTAGTGACTGACGTACATGTTCTCCCCACAGGCCCGGTGCACCATGGGCCACGAGAAGGACAGGATCAGTAGGTGCCCCTCTATACAGAGCACTGAGGGTGGGGAAGAGAGCCTGGGGCCTGATACCTCCCCCACACCTCCCCACTATGGATATGCAGGGAAAGGCCCTGCCAGGGCAGGGGCCCCCTCGAGTCAGACAGGACCTCGGGACCCCAGATCCCAGCACTGAACTCTGAGAGGAGACAGGGGAGACACACGGGGGCATCATCTGCTTACCACACTCCCTGCTACAGCAGTGTCCAGTCACTGTTGCCATGGCAATGTCACCCACTTGCCATGCTCCCTGCTATGTCCATGCACAGTCACTGTCGCCATGGCGGCAACCCAGTTACAACACTTCCTGCTACCTCAGCACACAGTCACTTCACCATGCCAACGTCAGACAGTTGCCTCCGTCCTTCACAACATCACCTCACGATCACTGTAGCCAAAGTGAGGATACCTGGCTACCACCATTCCCCACTGCATCGTTGTACCACCCCTCCAGTTACAGGAGTTACCAACAGCACTCTCACATTTATCGTATAGTCATGGAGACATCACCCAATTGTCACCTCTGCACCATTCCTCCAGCCACACTGACACCGCCCAGTTACTACCATCCATCAGTATTGGGGTTCAGAGAGGGAGTTGTGCCCTGGAATGATGAGGGAGCAAATGCAGAACCCCAATCCCAGCACCCATTTCCCCTGGGTGTGGTACTTACCAGGAACTCGGAGCCACGAGCAGCCACAGACAAATGGAGGGACATGTCCATGGCATCAGGAGGCCCTGACAGGGGAGAGATGCAAACCAGGCTGAGCAAATAAACTCCACTCCCATCCCAGAGCGGAGAATAGAATCGAGAATTCCTCACTCCCAACTCTAACCACTAGACAATCCCTCTAGCCTGGGACCATCACCTCCCACAGTTCAGTCCTTGCCCCTCAGATTATTTCCAGGTGTGTTGTTGTAGGGAGAGTGAGGTCCCCCATGAAATCATTGTCCCCTTTTTCTATCTTCTTCCCACTTGCTAGAAAGCTTTGTGGAAGCAGGGAAAGTAAGAAACGGTTTAAGTACCGCCATTTAAGTGTCAGACACAGAACAACTGTTGAGCTAAGTCTTAGCCCAATATCGTGAGACCTGTAGAAGCCGGGCTCACGTCAGAAGCGAGTTGAAACCTGCAGAATAGTCAGTGTGAACCAGTCTTGAGATAACGCTGTTTTGAGAAGCGAAAGTGAGAAAATGCTGGAATAGATAGAAAATAGTCTAAATAAAACATAGATGTTTTTTAATTAATGCACATCACAAAGAGGTATAAATGCTTGTGTGATTTTGCTTGTACTTTGGAGAAACTGAGGCAGACATGCTCTCTACCAGCTGTATTCTTCCCTTGCAATTGCTTGAATAAAGCTGTCTCTGAGTTTGTTCCTTCCAACCTAAGAGTGGAGTTTTGTTTCTTCCACAGCTCTTTTGCTGTGACCTGGGACAAAGAGTTCCCATTGTGTAGTGCTAGCTCTGAGAGGTTTCTATTGTAGCCAGTTCCTGGGGTGATCCATGTGCTTATGTGCATTTCCACAATAAGCCATTAACATTCTTTGGCCTTCTTACCGTTGTACCTGAAAGGCTGCTTGTGGGTGTTGTGAACCTCACCACACGTTTCAGTAGCACATACGTAGCCAAACTTCATAACTTCACATAGAACGATAACACACACAATCCAATGAGATTAATGTTCAGCAGATCAAGACTTTTAGAATAATCCCTCACAAGACATATTTTGTACAAAACATATCCTAATTACATGACAGTGGTGAATATTGGCGTGTCAGGGTGTCACAAACAGTGCGACACAGAGATCCCTTTTTCAGAACTAAGATGCAGCCACCTCTGGGGTGAGGAGCCAGGGCTGTTAAACAGGTAGGGGGAAATCTTTGGTTTTGTTCTTATCGAGGTAAGCATCATTTAGAGGTTCTGGATATGTTGATGAAACTCATCTTCCCACTGCTCCTGTACAGGTATATCCCACTGGACCAGTCATAGGCTCCCACCACTCCCAGCTCTGGATTCCCAGCAGCTGCTTGTCCCACAGAATCATAGAATATCAGGGTTGGAAGAGACCTCAGGAGGTATCTAGTCCAACCCCCTGCTCAAAGCAGGACCAACCCCAACTAAATCATCCCAGCCAGGGCTTTATCAAACCAGGCCTTAAAAACCTCCAAGGATGGAGATTCCACTACCTCCCTAGGTAACCCATTCCAGTGCTTCACCACCCTCCTAGTGAAATAGTGTTTCCTAATATCCAACCTAGACCTCCCCCACTGCAACTTGAGACCATTGCTCCTTGTTCTGTCATCTGCCATCACTGAGAACAGCCGAGCTCCATCCTCTTTGGAACCCCCCTTCGGGTTGTTGAAGGCTGCTATCAAATCCCCCCTCACTCTTCTCTTCTGCAGACTAAATAAACCCAGTTCCCTCAGCCTTTCATAAAAAGTCATTTGCCCCAGCCTCCTAATCATTTTTGTTGACGTCCGCTGGACTCTTTCCAATTTGCCTAAGTCCTTTCTGTAGTGGCGGGGTCCTAAAACTGGATGCAATACTCCAGATGTGGCCTCACCAGTGCCAAATAGAGGGGAATGATCACTTCCCTTGGTCTGCTGCCAATGCTCCTACTAATGCAGCCCAATATGCCGGCCATCTCGACCTTGAAAACCCATTTCTAGAGCCCCAGGGCCACTGTGGCTCCTGCCCCAGCTCTGTTACCTTTGAATGTGAAGATCTTCTCCTGCAGCTGGCTCTGGATGCCCTGGAGGGCGTCGAAATTGTCCACCCGGAAGACGTGCTCATTGCTGAGCTTAGAGGCGATCTCCTGGAGCTCCCGTTGGGCAGCAGCGCTGGAGAAGGCATCGCCGACCTTAATGGAGTAGAGGGAGGTACAGGGGAGACCAGGGCATCAGCGTCAGTCACAGCCGAGAGCCCTGGACCAACACCCACCCGCTCCGAGCCCTGCTGGGCCCTAGAGAGACACAGCTCAGCCAGCGCCAGGTGCCACTCCGGTGAGTGGGGGCCGCTGGAGCCTGGAGTTTCAGCACAGAGTTGTGTTGGTTGTATCAGCAGTGAGGACAGGGGTCTTCTTGCCATGGGTATTGACTCAATCTCCAGGGCATAGTGAGAGGTGAGTGCTGCAATGTCTCCGGCGGATGCCTCAGGGCAAGGGGTGAAGGGCTGGGATCACCACGCTAGTCTGGGTGGGTTGCATGCAGTCGGTTCAGCGGTGGAGTCAGGCACCTCCCGGTCACTGGGACCGACAGAAGCAGCAGAGAATGGTCAAACAAAGTCCAATGGCTGGAAGTGGAATTTACACACATTCAGAATGGAAAGAAGGTGTCAGGTTTAACTGTGAGGGGATTTAACCATTGGAGCAGCTCACCACGGGCCATGGTGGATTCTCCATCCCTGGCAATTTTTAACACAAGACCGGCTGGTTTTCTAAGCGATCTGCTCTGGTTCCAGCAGGGATTATTTGGGGCAGTTCCCTGGCCTGTGCCACACGGGAGCTCAGACTAGATCATCGCAAAAGTCCCTTCTGGCCTGGGAATCTATGACTCTAAACCCAAGTTTGTTGATGAAAGGCAGCTTACGTCGACCTAACTCGGTAAGAGGCTACACTAAAATGTATCTCCCACCCATGTAACTCGCCCACTGCACCGACTTCATAACTCCACTTCTGCAAGAGGCGTTGCTTTTAGTTAATGTAATTAGGATGATGCAGTGTCCATATAGGCACTGTGTGGCTTACGTAAGTGCGTCGTGTAAACTTGCCATTTGTCTTGCTGCTGATGCCCATTTCAGTCTCTTTGGCTCAGCAGTTTAACAGAGATAAATGTCAAGTGACTGAGATCAGTTTGGGGAGGATCAGAGCCGTTGTTTGAGCCCCAGGGGGCTGCAAAAAAGATTTTATAAGAACCGGGTGACTTTGCTGTTTAACTGGGGGGCTGTATCTCAGAAACCCCTTGTTCAAATGATCCCAAATTTAGACCACTCATCTTAACCTGCATCCCCATGAGGCAAACCAAATTTTATGACAATCTGAGTCAGCTCATGGACCGTAGGGCAGGCAGAAAATCCAAACTTTAACTAGACAGTGCCGCTCAACCTGAACAACAGAGGAGATCCAGCTCTCCTATAAAGTCACACGTTGACCCGGTTACAACCCAGGGTCAGTTCTTCTCCCTTATCTGACGGGAACGTGGACAGGGGCTAAGATCCATACTAGTTCTCTGCACAGCCGCAGCTCACCCCGATGGCGTAGCGGATGATTCCAGCTCTCTCTGCCTCAGGTATGACGTCCGAATAAGAAAGTGGGTCTCCAGTTTTCTCCCCATCTGTGATCACAATGAGAACCTTGGTGGCCTCATCCCGAGCTCCTTTCCAAGAGGTGAACAGCTCCTGCCTGGAAAAGTGGGGTGGGGAAGGCATGGGAGGGTTATTGATACTTAGTAACACCTAGTGCTCGTCCACTGCTTTGGCATTGCAGATCTCAAAGACCTTTACAAAAGAGGTCAGTGTCATGTCCCCATTTTACTGATGGGGAAAATGAGGCACTGGGAGGTGCTGTGACTTGCTTAATGTCACAAGAGAGGCTCAGAGCTGGCAATAGAAGAGTCCTGTCTCCCAGCATCCCCCCCCTCCGCTTTAACCTTCTAGTCTTCAGTCCCCTCCCACAGCTGGGAATAGAACCCAGGAGTCCTGAGTCCTGGTCCCTTAGCTTCCATATCCTTGCAGCCCATTCCCTGTGGAGTCAGCATGGGGAGGAGGGCAATACCTACACCACTTTCCGGATGGCTGTGGCCGTGTGCGTCGCTCCCGTGAGCTGCACGACTGAACTGAGGAGGCGATCGGGGTCGCGACTCGTCCTGTACTGTAAGAAGTTGAAGTGCTCTCTAAATCTGTGCGAGTACTGCATGAGGGCGAACTGCAGGAGACAGGGGGGAAGAGAGAAAAACAACCCCAGGGGTGGAGGGTAAGAAAAGCAGGAATCAGACTCAGTTAAGGGCTGGGGCAGGTGGTCAGGATGTAGCTGGTTCTGCAGGAATTTTTTCCTGGTTTTGGATGCAAAATCCATTGCTGCTCCCTGCAGCACAGCACCCCCTAGCGCCGCACTGGGTTATGGGGGTCAGCACTGACTGCAAGGGGCAGGGTAAGTAGTCAGGGTTCAGCCTCTGCCCATTACCTGCGTGTTGGTGTTGCGGAAATGCTTCATGATCTCAGAGAGAAACGTCTTCATCTTTCCAAAGTCCACAGGTGCGATGCTGCCCGAGCCGTCGATGAGGAGCGCTATGTCTGCGACATGTTTGGGGCACTCTGAGAGGGACAGGAATGAAGTACATCCTGACTCAACTCCACAAACATGGGAAACCCATCAGAAAGAGCTCGAGCCAAACCAATGGGCGCATCTAACCTGATATCCCGCCCCCTGCAACCACCCTGATCAGACCCCTCGGCCCCTCTGTCGTAACATCATCCCATCCCTGCCATGGAGAGGTCCTGAGAGTAGAGCATGACATGCACTGGGATGAAAAAAATACACCCCACCCGCCTCCCAGAGCTGGGACAGAACCCAGGAGGCCTGACTCCCAGCTCCTACTGACATCCTGAATCAAACCTATGGGCCCACCTAACCTGCTATCCCACTCCCCATCAGACCCTGGGCCCCTCTGGACTCATCTCCCCTCCACCTCCCCAATGTCCGTGTACCCACCCGCGAACCCAGGGTGTAAGTCCCCCCCATACACACCCCTGTGTCACCCCTCACCTGGCTGGGTGTCCAGGATGTGCTGGAGTTGCGAGAAGCTCTGCTGCAGAGGGAAGCAGTAGTGACTGACGTACATGTTCTCCCCACAGGCCCGGTGCACCGTGGGGCACGAGAAGGACAGGATCAGTAGGTGCCCCTCTATACAGAGCACTGAGGGTGGGGAAGAGAGCCTGGGGCCTGATACCTCCCCCACACCTCCCCACTATGGATATGCAGGGAAAGGCCCTGCCAGGGCAGGGGCCCCCTCGAGTCAGACAGGACCTCAGGACCCCAGATCCCAGCACTGAACTCTGAGAGGAGACAGGGGAGACACACGGGGGCATCATCTGCTTACCACACTCCCTGCTACAGCAGTGGCCAATCACTGTTGCAATGGCAATGTCACCCGGTTGCCATGCTCCCTGCTATGTCCATGCACAGTCACTGTAGCCATGGCAGCAACCAAGTTCCAACTCTTCCTGCTACCTCAGCACACAGTCACTGTCACCATGGCAACATCAGCCAGTTGCCTCCATCCCCGACAACATCACTTCACAATCACTGTAGCCAAAGTGAGGACACCTGGCTACCACCATTCCCCACTGCATCGTTGTACCACTCCTCCAGTTACAGGAGTTACCAACAGCCCTCTCACACTTATTGTGTAGTCATGGGGATGTCACTCAATTGTCACCTCTGCACCATTCCACCAGCCACACTGATGCAACCCAGTTACTACCATTCATAAGTAGTGGGGTTTCGGGAGGGAGCTGTCCTCTGTAACAATGAGGGAGAAAATGTGGGACCCCAGTCCCAGCACCCATCTCATTAGAGTGTGGTACCTACCTGGAACTCGGAGTCTTGAGCAGCCAGAGACAAACCAAGGGACATATTCATGGCATCGGGGGGCCCTGAAAGAGGAGAGATGCACACCAGGCTGAGCAAATCAACTCCACTCCTGTCCCAAAGCGGAGGATAAAATTGAGAATTCCTGACTCCCAACTGCTACACGGAGATCCCTTTCCCAGAACTAAGTTGGAGCCACCTCTGGGGTGAGGAGCAGGGGCTGTTTAAATAGGTAAGGGGAAATCTTTGGGGTTGTTCTTACCCAGGTAAGCATCATTCATGTCCCCAGAGGTTCTGGGTACGTTGTGGAAACTCAGCTTCCCACTGCTCCCGTACAGGTATATCCCACTGGACCATTCATAGGCTCCCACCACTCCCAGCTCTGGATTCCCAGCTTCTCCTCGGCCCACAGAATCATAGAATATCAGGGTTGGAAGAGACCTCAGGAGGTCATCTAGTCCAACCCCCTGCTCAAAGCAGGACCAATCCCCAACTAAATCATCCCAGTCAGAGCTTTGTCAAGCCGGATCTTACAAACCTCTAAGGATGGAGATTCCACCACCTCCCTAGGTAACCCATTCCAGTGCTTCACCACCCTCCTAGTGAAATAGTGTTTCCTAATATCCAACCTAGACCTCCCCCACTGCAACTTGAGACCATTACTCCTTGTTCTGTCATCTGCCACCACTAAGAACAGCCGAGCTCCATCCTCTTTGGAACCCCCTTCAGGTAGTTGAAGGCTGCTATCGAATCCCCCCTCACTCTTCTCTTCTGCAGACTAAATAATCTCAGTTCCCTCAGCCTCTCCTCCTAAGACATGTGCCCCAACCCCTTAATCATTTTCGTTGACCTCCGCTGGACTCTTTCCAATTTGTCCATGTCCTTTCTGTAGTGGGGGGCCCAAAACTGGATGAAATACTCCAGATGTGACCTCACCAGTGCCAAATAGAGGGGAATAATTACTTCCCTCGATCTGCTGCCAATGCTCCTACTAATGCAGCCCAATATGCCGGCCATCTCGACCTTGAAAACCCATTTCTAGAGCCCCAGGGCCACTGTGGCCCCTGCCCCAGCTCTGTTACCTTTGAAGGTGAAGATCTTCTCCTGCAGCTGGCTCTGGATGCCCTGGAGGGCGTCGAAATTGTCCACCCGGAAGACGTGCTCGTTCCTGGGCTCAGAGGCGATCTCCTGGAGCTCCCGTTGGGCAGCAGCGCTGGAGAAGGCCTGGCCGACCTTAATGGAGTAGAAGGAGGTACAGGGGAGACCAGGGCATTGGAGTCAGTCACAGCCAAGAGCCCTGGACAAATACCCACCCGCCCTGAGCCCTGCTGGGCCCTCGAGAGATACGGCTCAAGGAGAGTTGGGGGGAAGGGGGCTGCTGGAGCCTGGAGTTATGAAGCCTGCCTCATTTCAACACCGAGTTGTGTCAGTTGTATCAGCAGTGGGGCACAGAGAGCTTCTTGCCATGGGGATTGTCAGCACTCTGGGGCCTTGCATGACTCAATCTCCAGGATGTAGTGAGGGGTGAATGTTGCAATGTCTCCAGGGGATGTCTCAGGGCAAGGGGTGAAGGGCTCAGACCACCATTTTAGTCTGGGTGGGTTGCGTGCAGTCGATTCAGAGGTGGAGTCAGGCACCTCCCATCGCTGGGCCCGACAGAAGCAGCAGACAAAGGTCTAACAAGGTTCAATGGCTGGAAGCGGAATTTTTACCCATTCAGTTTGGAAAGAAGGTGTCAAGTTTAACCATGAAAGGAATTAACCATTGGAGCAGCTCACCATGGGCCGCAGTGGAGTCTCCATCCCTGGCAATATTTAACACAAGACTGGCTGATTTTCTAAAATATTTTCTCTGGTTCTAAAAGGGATTATTTGGGGCAGTTCTCTGGCCTGTGCTACATGGGAGCTCAGACTAGATCATCGCAAAAGTCCCTTCTGGCCTGGGAATTTATGACCCTAAACCTGAGTTTGTTGATGAAAGGCAGCTAACGTCGACCTACCTCTGTAAGTGGCCTTGCTAAAATGTAGCTCCCACCCATGTAACTCGCCCACTGCACCAACTTCATAACTCCACTTCCACAAGAGGCGTTGCTTTAGCTCAATGTAGTTAGGTTGATGCAGTGTCCATATAGGCACTGTGTGACTTACGTAGCCTAAGGCTCCGGTTTCTGGCCCCAGGCGGTGGGGCTTCAGCCCCAAAATGCCCTGCACTGACAGTTAAATCAGTACAAGGGCCCCGGTGAGGATACGCACCGCCGACAGGAGAGTAATGTGGACGCGAAAAACCGATTTAACTACTGTGGTGGCTGTGTGACCACATAACTTAATTCGAGTTCAGTGTGTCATGTAAACTTGCCCATTGTCTTGCTGCTGATTCTCATTTCAATCTCTTTGGCTCAGCAGTTTAATGGAGATAAATGTCAAGTGCCTGACACCAGTTTGGGGAGGATCAGAGCCGTTGTTTGAGCCCCACGGGGTGCAAAAAAGACTTGATAAGAACCGGGTGACTTTGCTGTTTAACAGAGGGGGGGCTGTATCTCAGAAACCCCTTTTTCAAATGATCCCAAATTTAGACCACTAATCTTAACCTGCATCCCCATGAGGCAAACCAAATTTTATGACAATCTGAGTCAGCACATGGACCGTAGGGCAGGCAGAAAACCCAACCTCTAACTAGGAAGCTCCGCTCAACCTGAACAACAGAGGAGCTCCAGCTCTCCTATAATGTCACACGTTGACCCGGTTACAACCCAGGGTCAGTTCTTCTCCCTTATCTGGTGGGAACCTGGACATGGGCTCAGTCTCAGATCCACACTAGTTCTCCGCACAGCCGCGGCTCACCCCGATGGCGTAGCGGATGATTCCAGCTCTCTCAGCCTCGGGGATGACGTCTGAATAAGAAAGCGGGTCTCCAGATTTCTCTCCATCTGTGATCACAATGAGAACCTTTGTGGCTTCATCCCGAGCTCCTTTCGAAGAGGTGAAAAGCTCCTGCCTGGAAAAGTGGGGGGTGAAGAATGCATGGGAGGGTTATTGATATGTAATAATAATATATGGAGATATACCTATCTCATAGAACTGGAAGGGACCCTGAAAGGTCATTGAGTCCAGCCCCCTGCCTTCACTAGCAGGACCAAGTACTGATTTGGTTCCCGATCCCTAAATGGCCCCCTCAAGTATTGAACTCACAACCCTGAGTTTAGCAGGCCCATGCTCAAACCTCTGAGCTATCCCTCCCCCCAAAATATGTAATAACATGTAGCCATCATCCACTGCTTTGGCATTGCAGATCTCAAAGTCCTTTACAAAGGAGGTCGCTGTCATGTCCCCATTTTACTGATGGGGAAACTGAGGCACAGGGCGGGGACATGACTTGCTTAAAGTCACACAGCAACAGAGGCTCAGAGCTGGCAATAGAACGCCAGAGTCCTGGCTCCCAGCATCCCCACCCCACTTTAACCTACTAGTCCCCATTCCTCTCCCACAGATGAGGATAGAATCCAGGAGTCCCAAGCCCCTGTCCCTTAGCTTCCATATCCTTACAGCCCATTCCCTGTGGCATCAGCATGGGGAGGAGGGCAATACCTACACCACTTTCCGGATGGCACTGGCCGTGTGCGTCGCTCCCATGAGTTGTACGACAGACGCGAGGAGGTGATCGGGGTCTCGACTCCTCCTGTACTGTAAGAAGTCGAAGTGCTCTCTAAATGTGTTTGAGTACTGCATGAGGGCGAACTGCAGGAGATGGGGAAAAGAGAGAAAAACAACCCCGGGGTGGAGGGTCAGAAAAGCAGGAATCAGATTCAGTTAAGGGCTGGGGCAGGCGACCAGGATGTAGCTGGTTCTGCAGGAATTTTTTCCTGGTTTTGGATGCAAAATCCATTGTTGTTCCCTGCACCACAGCGCCCCCTAGTGCCGCACTGAGGCCAGCACTGACTGCGAGGGGCAGGGTAACTAGTGAGGGTTCAGCCTCTTCCCGTTACCTGCGTGTCGTTGCCGCAGAAACGCTTCATGATCTCAGAGAGAAACGTCTTCATCTTTCCAAAGTCCTCACGTGCGATGCTGCCCGAGCCGTCGATGAGGAGCGCTATGTCTGTGACATGTTTGGGGCACTCTGAGAGGGACGGGAATGAAGTACGTCCTGACTCAACTCCACAAACATGGGAAACCGTTCAGAAAGAGCTAGACCAGACCAATGGGCGCATCTAACCTGATATCCCGCCCCCTGCAACCACCCTGATCAGACCCCTCGGCCCCTCTGTCGTAACTTCATCCCGTCCCTGCCATGGAGAGGTCCTGAGAGTAGAGCATGACATGCACTGGGATGAAAAGAATACACCCCACCCGCCTCCCAGAGCTGGGACAGAACCCAGGAGTCCTGACTCCCAGCTCCTACTGACATCCTGAATCAAACCAATGGGCCCACCTAACCTGCTATCCCACTCCCCATCAGACCCTGGGCCCCTCTAGACTCATCTCCCCTCCACATCCCCATGGTCCATGTACCCACCTGTGAACCCAGGTGTAAGTCCCCCCACACACACCCCTGTGTCACCCCTTACCTGGCTGGGTGTCCAGGATGTGCTGGAGTTGCGAGAAGCTCTGCTGCAGAGGGAAGCAGTAGTGGCTGACATACATGTTCTCCGCACAGACCCGGTGCAGCATGGGGTACCCCTTTGAATAGAGCACTGAGGGTGTGGGATAGAGCCTGGGGCCTGAGCCTCCCCCCATGGATATGCAGGGAAAGGGCCTGCCAGGGCAGCGGTCCCCTTGAGGCAGACAGGACCTTGGGACCCCACGGGGCCATCACATGCTTACCACAGTCCCTGCTATAGCAGTGTCCAGTCACTGTTGTCATGGGAATGTCACCCGCTTGCCATGCTCCCTGCTATGTCCATGCACAGTCACTGTCGCCATGGCGGGAACCAAGTTACAACACTTCCTGCTACCTCAGCTCACAGTCACTGTCACCATGGCAACAACAGCCAGTTTACCTCCATCCTTACAACATCACCTCGCCTTCACTGTAACCAAAGTGAGGATACCTGGCTACCACCATTCCCCACGGCATCGTTCTACCACCACTCCAGTTACAGGAGTTACCAACAGCCCTCGCACAGTTATCATGTAGTCATGGGGACGTCACCCAATTGTCACCTCTGTACCATTGCTCCAGTCATGCTGACGCTGCCCAATTACTACCATCCATGAGTACTGGGGTTTGGGGAGGGAGCTGTCCCCTGGAATGATGAGGGAGAAAATGTGGGACCCCAGTCCCAGCACCCATCTCATTAGAGTGTGGTACCTACCAGGAACTGGGAGCCTCGAGCAGCCAGAGACAAACCGAGGGACATGTTCATGGCATCAGGGGTCCCTGATAGAGGAGAGATGCACACCAGGCTGAGCAGATAAACTCCATTCCTGTCCCAGAGCAGAGGATAGAACCAAGAATTCCTGACTCCCAGCTCCCCCTGCTATAACCACTAGACCCCCCACACACACACAGCTGGGAATAGAACCCAGGAGTCCTGGCTCCCAGCCCCACCCCCCACTCTCAGAAATGGTCACAGAACGCAAGAGTCCTGACTCCCACCCCAATCCTATTGCTGCCCCCCACAGTACAGGTTGCCCCTACTCTGGATGGGGATCTCCTGGCAGCATCTGGAGCCCGGGTCGCACTTGTAGACTTTGCCGGTTTCATTCACGTTTCCTGTCTGCAGCGGGGCCCAAACAATCAGCCTGCGGGAAAAAAGTATGGGGGGCTAAGGGATGGCCCACACACCCAGGGGACTGAGGCCCAGGGGAGGCAGCCCAGTCAGAAATGCCCCTCAGCATTGGGCACAAGTCTTGTGGGGTCCCACGTTCAGCCCTTACCCCCCAGTGCTGGAATTCCCGAACTGCAAGACGCTCTGCCCAAACCCCTCTGCTGCCTCCTGGAAGGTGATGGGTCCCTCCACGTCCACGCTGAATCCACGGCTCGGTTCCAGCACTGCAGGGTTAAACAGTCACCAGTTAGAGCTTCCTCTATGGAGACCAGGCCAGTGGTTGGGGCTTTCTGGCTATGGGACTGAATTCCAGCCCGCTACTCTAACCCACCAAATCCCACTCCTCTCCCAAAGCCAGGGATAGAACCCAGGCGTCCTGACTCCCAGCTCCTCACCACCTGCTCCCGGCTGTCTAGCCCTCAAGGGCTATTTGATGCAAATCATTCCCCACATTCATTTGCATAGTGCC